CCTCAATGACTTCAAACTTATGAACCTGGACATCTGAGAGGTCAGGAGTGAGTAACTCACTGTTGACCATCTCCTTGCAGCATGGAGTCATATGTGAACATGAAGCCTCCATGAGGACAGAGCAGGATACTGTTCCCCACACTGGACACTGGGTTGCTCTTTGCTGGCCTTCTGTGGTGATCAGGTATAACAGAAGATGTTACAATAATTTAGGACACATCAAAATGATTCATATTTAAACTGAAAAATGATCTTAAATATTTGTTTCCATTACCTGATAAATTTCCTCCATTCATCTACAAAATAATTAGGTACAATGTACAGAACATCTGTGTCCTAAAACACAATCCAAACCAAAGTCAGTTAGCTGAAAATAATATTGAAATACTGACATGTTCACCCTCTAAAATCTACCTCTCAAACATCTTGGAAAAACCTGAAATGGAATCTTTTAATTTGGAAAATGGCATCACCTGTGGCCATTTCTGCAGTGTGGGCCGATTCTTCTCCTGGAAGAGGTTGAGCAGCGAGCTCTTCTGTTCATTTGCCATCATTCTGTTCAAAGCCTCATTTTCTTTACCTTCTCTTTCCAGTCTCTGAAAGACACGGTCAATCTTAAAACCTTTGCCCAAAAATGCTCAGTAAGCAGCTCACAAGGTTATGAGTGTCCACTACACCTTTTACCCATGAGAGTTACTTGATCAATTTATTACCATGCACAGCTGACAGGACTCGTGATTTTGCGGGAACTCTGGTGCTTTGGGGAAATACATCCGAAGTTTATTCCACACCTCGGCAGAAACCACCCGCCTGTCATTCTCTATTATACTCAGACCACCTATGGGAGAAAGAGACCATACAATTACATAAATCAACCTTGCTAATGAATAATCAAATATTTTTTTACAATGTTGAATTCATATAAAATATTCATTTAATGACAACAATTTTGTGCACCACTAAAAACATTATTAAACATTATAGACACACCACTAAATATTGACATATAATATGAAATAAAATAAAATAAATATTTAAAGGGGTCATATGATGCGATTTCAAGCTTTCCTTTCTCTTTGGAGTGTTACAAGCTGTTTGTGAATTGATAAGATCCCTAAAGTTGCAAAGACTAAAGACTCAAACCCAAAGAGATATTCTTTATAAAAGTTAAGACTGGTCCACGCCCTCCTAAAACGCCTCGTTTAAACACGCCCCCACGTCCACGTCACAATGTGGGAAGATTTGCATAACGCTGCCCAAATGCTCACGCAAAGAAAGAAGGCGTAACTTTATTGTTGCTGCCGCCGCCATGTTGTGAAGATGCCGTATGTTTCATTGCGAAAGTGAAAATACTTTGTTTGGCCTTACAAAAGAGGACACGACCAGAAATCAGTATTTACAACACTGTTCCAGAACAGTTCAACCCAAATATTCAGATTTGTGCAGCGCATTTTATGGAGGACTGTTTCCTGATCCTGGTAGAGTAGACTACAATGCCAGCTGTTCAGACACACACTGTAAGTACGTTTTCATTTAAAGGATTTGCCACTGACGATTCAAACGCGAGTTTTGAGCAGTGTAGAGTAGCGCTTGTTGTTTGTCGTTTCTCCGATCACAAATGCAGACATGGTTTTATGTTTACGCGACGCGATGCAACGCAACGCGTAAAAAGACAGTATAAGTCATTATAATCAGTAATTATGTCCCCACTGGATGCAACAAATGCCTTATTTATAATGGGTTTGAATGTTTTTGTCTCGTCGCTCCGGGACACGGCATCACAGTATGGTAAGGGGCGTAACATTTCCGTCACACGTTTGAGGTATTCGGCCAATCACAACGCACTAGATAGCTGGCCAATCAGATCACATCTTGCTTTTCAGACCGATGAGCTTTGTAAAAATTGACGCATTTCAGAAAGGCGGGGGCATAGCGAAGAAACAATAATGTACAGTATGTGGAAAATAATGTGTTTTTTTAACCTTAAACCACATAAAAACATTTAATTACACAAAATACACAAAATAATGTTTTTTTAGCAACATCATAAGACCCCTTTAACAAACCGTGATAGCAGAGGATGTCTTCATTAAAGTTTTTCATCTCTTCACCATCCCCCTCTTCGTTATCTCCTTTAACTCCATCAGCTAACAAAATGAAAAAAAGAAAATAAACAACTAAAAGACAAGAGCAAAAGCCATAAACAATATCCGTAAGTCTCAGTACCTTTAGATCCTGCACTGCTGCTTCTCTCTCCGTTAACTTTGCTGTTGTTGGGTTTGGTTTCCTCCTCATCTTCCTCTAGCTGGTCTAATGCCAATTGTCTCCAGCTCCTTAGAGAAGCCTTACCGATCCAGAAACCTGATTCATCACTAAATATAGCCAATATAAACACCAGATCAGCTTCATCAAATATCTAATGAACTGCATTAGCAGGGTTATTATAATGAACTAAAACCATTAATAAAATATTTCATTAATTTGAAGTACTAAAAATTGCAATAAAAACTATATAGACACAAAAACAACAAAATTGCTGAAGCTTTAAAATAAAACCAAATTCAAAACAATAAAGACTATAATAGCATGTCATTGATACTAAAATAACTGCAGTAAAAGCATCTGCTGGAGATCCAGGTTAAAGCAGAACTCATACCTTTCTAAAGGGGCTTTGGCAAGATTCATGACCTCTCTGTAATCTTCATTCAGCTGGTTTTTCAGTCTGATCACCCGACATCGCTGAGTGACACAGTCTCTGCAGAGAGATGACTCTAAACACCATCCAGGATGAATGAATACATGGATAAAACACAGTAATGAACAATTAAAAGGTTTGAAGTCTTACGGCCTAGTCGAGATACTCCTCCGTAGCGGCTGAAAAGGAGATCAGCGGCCTTCAAGGATATTCTTTTGACCTCTCCAATCTTGTCTGGGTGCAGTTTGCCGTGGGAGCACAGGAATTGGCTGTTGTCAATTTCCTTGATGGCCGTGGAGTCATCAAGCCATTTCTTGAGCCACTCCAGAGGCACAAACTCATACGATTGGCCTAAAAGCACAAAAGGAGCCCAAAGCATTCATTTCTTCTTGAAAATGAAAAATACAAAATACAAAAGTCTTAAAACTGGTTACACTATTGTTCAAAAGTTTGGGGTTAGTACATGTTTTAAAATAAATTAATAGCTTTAATTCAGTTAATAATTAATAATTTTAATTATTTAATTTTAATAATACTTTTATTCAGCAATGGCGCATTCAATTCATTTAAAATGTTACAAAAAAATTATATTTCAAACATGCTGTTTTTTTTTTACTTTGTATTCATCAAAGATTCCAGAAAATATTTATCACAGATGACACAAAAATATGAAGCAGCACAATTGTTTTCAACAATAATAATAGGAAACATTTCTTAAGCCGCAAATCAGCGTTAAGAAACATTAGACAACATTAGAATGATGTCTGAAGGATCACGCGACACTGAAGACTGGAGTAATAAATTGTAAAAATGTTCCACACTACTACCGTTTACCGTCTTTGATCAAATAAATGCAAACTTAAAAACACTAAAAAATCGTACCAATCCCAAACTTCTGAATGGTAGTGTTAATATAACAATGTTTAAGATTGAAAAAAGGGAGATTTAACAGTTCATATTTACGGAGAAACTAATGCACGGGGCATTTTTACGGACCGTCTTCCGTGGGTAACAATTCGTAGAGCTCCTTCACCTCCTCATGTTTGGCTTTGCCTTTGTCAACACTCTGCTTTCGCATGTCTGCCATCTCATTGCACCACTCCTCAAACTTCTTGTTGTCCTGGTCAACCAGCTTCTGAAGAAAAGCTAAAAACCAAACAAATACATCTTAAATAGATACCGTATGTTATGATGCACGCATAACACTTACAAAAAATATTGTGTAAAAAATGGGGAAAAAATTACTCTCCTCTTAATGACAAACACAGTTGTGTAAGTCGTGGCCTAATGGTTAGAGAGTCGGACTCGTAACCCAAAGGTTGCGGGTTCAAGTCTCATACCGGCAGGGATTGTAGGTGGGGGGAGTGAATGTACAGCACTCTCTCCCACCTTCAATACCACGACTGAGGTGCCTTTGAGCAAGGCACCGAACCCCCAACTGCTCCCCGGGCACCGCAGCAAAAAATGGCTGCCCACTGCTCCGGGTGTGTGTTCACGGTGTGTGTGTGTGCACTTTGGATGGGTTAAACGCAGAGCACTAATTCCAAGTATGGGTCACCATACTTGGCCACATGTCATGTCACGTCACGCCACGTCACGTCACATAAAACTACTGGAAAATGTGATTGATTAATCCATAAAGTCAGTTTTACCTGGTACTTCAACGTTAGTTTCTGTTTGGTCAAGACGGTCACCGTCTTCCATCTGCTGTTTGTACACTAACATGTACGCGTTTCTCGAACAGTGATAGCCTTTGCTACATTTTGGCTTTCGGGTTTGAGACTTGGCAGTCTCGGCTGCAATGGAAACAAGAACAAGCAATAAAGTACACTTTTGTATTTTCATATTTTTAGAACTGTAGCTGCAAAAAATGAGACACCATTAAAAGTAAATTGTCCAAATGTGTTGTTACCAATGTCTTCCTCAATGCCCAGCTGAAGTTTCTTGCCCTCCATTTTCTCGATCTCCTCATCATTGAATTTGTACCAGTCATTGGTGTGGGCGTCTCTTACGTGAGCGATGTAGTGGCCAGAATATGCACTCACGCCACGATGAATCAACACCGCACTGAGCTCATACGTACACTTCTCTTCTGAATTTAGAGGTGGAGGAAGAAAAAAAGAATCAAGCAATGTTAATTAATCACAATTTCCTGATCATTATCTCAGATTCCTAAATTACATACACTATTGTCTGAAAAATATGGGTTCAGTAAAATTAGAATTTTTTAATTCAATACTTGAATTCAGCATTAAATGTATCAAAAGTGATCTGTAACAAAATATTTCTATTTCAAATAAATACTGTTCTTTCCAACTTTCTAGTCATCAAGGAATACTGGAAAAATGTATCATGGTTTCCACAAAAAAGTATTAAGCAACTGTTTTCAATTGATAATAAGTAATGTTTCTTGAGCAGCATACTAGAATGATTTCTGAAGGATCATGTGACACACTGAAGACTGGAGTAATGCTGCTGAAAATTCAGCTTTGCCATCATAGAATTAAATTACATTTCAGTTCAAACAAAAAACAGTTGTTTTAAATTCTAATAATAATAATTGACAATATTACAGTTTTTACTGTAGTTTTGATCTCGGTGAGCATAAGAGACTTTTTCAAAAACATTAAACAAGTCTTGTGAACTGCAGTGTACAAACTAAATGCACAGTATACCCTTTCCTTCCAAAAATGGTCCCATCTCAAGAACTTCTGGAAAACTAATGAAGGTGTTGAGTTTCTTCTTATGAGCACTTTGCCTATAAAAGCAGAGAAAGATGAGAAACAAATGATTAAAAACGTCTATAAAACATTTAGTAACAGGTCTGATAATTGACAAATTACGACACTCACCTATCAAAAACAAAACGCATGAGCTGAAAATTTAGTGTGCGGGGAAGACTCTGGAGCTTGATCCGACGGGTGGCGTTCTGTTTACTCTGACAGCTCTCGCAATAGTAGCGATTATCACCTTCCAGCTTCTCCTCCTAAACAGCATGTGAAACGACACATTGAAACCCATAATATCTGATCTACATAGACAAATGGAGCTGGTCAGGCACAGAAATGTGAGCAGTCACCTTAAGAAACTCCGTTACACACTCCGTGAGGTTTTTGTGTCCTTGAATGTTCAACTCCAGCTCATAAAATCGTGATGGTAGAGGAGACTCGCGTCCACATTTGTTGCATCTGGCATAACACAAAAAACAAGCACTAATTACTATATTATAACGCATTAAGCTCAGAGTGAGAGTAATAAATGCCTGCATCAGAAAATAACATTCGTTTAGAATAGCTTACACTGTAACATACGAGAACTGTCCACAAAACTGCTGTTGAATGACATTTTGGAGATTTGGGTCCTTCTGCTTTGAAAGTGTGTCTTCAAGAAGTGAGAGGAAGAGTTTGGAGAATTCCTGAGCATCCTAAAAATAAAAGAAAACCACATTTTTAGCTTTCCCATGATCCACAGGGCACTCCAACATGTTTCATCTTGTGCTGGCCAACCTGCTGTTGTCCTGTGTCGAGCCCAAGAGCCTTGACCAGCCCTGAGGGGTCGATATACCGTCTGTTGCTGTTCTGTAGCAATGCAAACAGATACTGGAGATGTTCACATATCGTCCGTGGTTCATAATCTGCAAGATAATGTGCACAAATGAGAAAAAGCTTTTTAAATAAATGGGGCTTTTCTAAGTTTTGAACACATATTTAATACTTTCAATATTGTACCCTTCACGCTTAGCTTCAAAGTATCTCCAGTTAGAGTTACTAAATGGCAATTGTCACTACAAAATATGTTGCATGCTACAACGGTATATTTTCCTAATTATAAGTAAAGCACGTTGACAATAAAACCATTCAGGCTTTAAAAGAAAGACCCTTGATCTCACCTGAATCCATGTTGTGCCCTTCTGCTCTGGAATTCTGAAATTGATATAAGGCTCTACGAAGCTCCAGATTGTGAAACCACACCTGGAGGAAAGTGTTCACGTAACATGTGGCGCCAAGATTCGTCAAGCCCACAAATGTGTTCTGCAACAGAGAGAGCAATCACATAAATGTTGATTAATAAACTTGCCCTAAGGCATTTGAGGACCCTTGCATTGTAGTTTTGTTATTGTTAATGAATACTATGACTATAAAAGATCACTTTCCGTAACTGAATCAAAGCTAAAATAGAAATATTCAATGAAAAACTTTCTAAACAAATTAAAAAATTAGAAATGTTGCCTTGGCAGCTAACTAAAACAAATAAGTTTAAACTTAAGTACTAAAATGACTAATATATATACACACACACACACACACAATACAAATTAATACAATTACTAAACTAAAACTAAAATGAAAACAAAAATATAAAATAAAACATTTATATATAATATAAAAGCCAGTTTAAAATATTAGTAAATACTATAATAACATATACATAACACTAAAATAGCACTATTTAATTTTTTATGTATTAGCATACTACAGATTCACCTACTGTATGGTTTTCATCATTTTAAATGAAACTATATGTTATTCATCGTACCTTATCTCGTCTTTCAGAATTTGGGTCATCGATGTTGTGGAAGGCATTTTCATCAATTTCTCCCAACCATGATTGTTCCCCAATACCGACTAGACAGTTGGGATTCCCTCTACAGTTCCTCCTGTGTGGCAGCAAAACATTTTTAGGGTGAGACGGTGATGTGATTACAACAATCTGCACTAATAAACACGTTTTCACAGTTGTTTCATTGAAACTGTCTCTTTAAATCAAAATTACAGTTAATGCACTCAACAGCATGGATAGAATTAAACAGAGAGAAAAGTAAACACAGATCACTATCGCCATCACATTACCTGCACGTCCCTCTTTTGCATGCCGACACTGCTACCCTATAAGCTAACTCTATATGTTCACGTGTGATATCCTCTGGTTTAACCATCTCTGCCCACTTCCAAGCATCTTTTTCCAGCTGCAACCGAGGAGCCATTCTGCACAAAGAAAAACACAAGTCTTTAGTTATACAAAATACACCTGAACATACACGTACGGACACCCTGAAAACAGAAAACACAACAAACACACACTTTTAGAGATCACATACTGTACACAGCAATAAATATCTAAAAACCAAACAGACATCTTACACAGAAAATCACATCACACACACTTGACAGATACACACATCTGTGTGATGCACAGGCCTTGCATCACTGGTCCAGCACGCACAATACTTTTGATTTGACCCCAAACATCAGAAAAACACTCTAATGACAGCTAATTTATTTTAACAAGCAAACAACTGGCAAGCACAGCAAATAATATTTAAGAAGCACCACGGAGTCCCAATTAGCACATACATTTTTGATTATCCCATCATCATAATTCACAGTTTAGAATAAAACATACCGTCAAAAATAAATACTCCGGTTCACGGCCTCAACACAGCTGTATTGTTTTATAAATCTTTAGTAAACACAATAATATTGAATGTTTTCATCGAGGCTGCTAAAGCTGCGCAGTTAGCATGCTAGCAGCTAGCTCTCGACTTATTTTCATTAAATACATGCACCTGGCGTGAATTTACCAAGAGATTCTAGACTGTGAAGATGCTTTCATAAATATAGGAATTTTAAATCACACTTTATTGATGGTACGTTTGTATTTAGCGCCCTTGCGTCAGCTTTTATATAAATATTTTTGTCCCTTCGTCAGTTTCAAACTTCTATGAGACGTACGTACTTACGCGTGACGTAATCGCGGCGTCTGACGCCGGTGCGTCAGTGGGCCGCTCAATGTCGCGCTGTAGCCACAAGGCAACCTACTGTTTTCCTTAACCTTCTCGCTACTCTGGAAAAAATACAATGCACTGAGTTGTTGAAATGCAAAACAAACTTCTTCTTCTTCTTCTAATAACGTTTTATGGCGGATGCAAAACAAACTCTTGAAAGCACAGGATAATATGCTGTTTTTGAGCTAGATGACATTTAAATTACCATAAATGGCTCATTCCCCTTACATAGAACTATATGCTGAAGTACACCACAAATTGCACAAACAGGTTTCTGTACATTTCCTCTCTGATTATTTATTTATTAATATTTTTGCATCTTGGGAAAGTTAAATGGACGTCATAGTTTAAAAAAAAACTGTAGGCCTATGTTCATTCAAGTAATGTGGCCTAATTATTTGAATGAACATAAAAAGATAATAATCATAATAATAATAATAATCAGTCCCTGAACAAAGGGGGTCAGTAACAAAAGTCGCAGTGATCTTGTGTGCTGCTTTAACTACAATGCACCTTTCTTCTTTTTTCTTGCATTTGTTTGGCATTGAAGAATATAAACCATATATTGCTAAATTATATTTTCTTCACTTTAACCACATTTTTGTGGGAATTGTGCCCGAACGGATTCCCATGGTAGATCATGAGTCACATTCACACACTTAAAAGAGAAAAGTCCAATGAAGCTTTTAATAAGAAGCTTTGTTAAAGACCCTAAAGTTTTAAACGCTTTTTATTGGACTTTAAACTCCACCTTTGAACTTTGAATGAGAACATGTCATACAGAGGTTTCTGTCACAGGAAGGTCATGAATTAAGTCTAGAGAAAAGGAATTTAGGCAATATTGTGGTATAATGACTGAGTGCTCTTTGAATTTGTGTAAGTAGGCCTACTGTTGTGGAGGAATTTTGGCCAAGTCCACCTGCTTGAATGAAGAAATATCCGTAGGCCTAATGTTTGTAAGCGTGACCTGCTTCGGGTCCCACTGCAGAATCCTATTGGGTTTATGTCTCACGCCAGCACCACAGTGTTTGTTTTTTATTGTGTGATATAAATTATTTTACAGAGATTTACAACTATTTAAACGTTAGGATACATTTGACAGAATTTATTTCTAATAAACCTGCTGACCTGAAGTTTGTTCTGTAGACAAATACAAATCATGTCTATGCATGCATTTATTCACAAAACTATGGCTGTGTTGGTCTGTGTTAAAAAAAACAAAAAACTAACTAACACTGTCTTCTCTAATATTTTTGTATTCTATCTATTTGTTTTCTTTCTATTTATTATACAATTAACAAAAGCAAAAAAAAAAAAAGGAAAAAAAAGCCTCTAACAGCTTGTGTTGGTCTGTGTTAAAAAAAACAAAAAACTAACTAACACTGTCTTCTCTAATATTTTTGTATTCTATCTATTTGTTTTCTTTCTATTTATTATACAATTAACAAAAGCAAAAAAAAAAAAAGGAAAAAAAAGCCTCTAACAGCTTGCTCTATTCTATCTGTTTTCTTGTTAGGCTATTTATTATATAATTGGAAAAAAAAACCTTGCTACTTGTACTGAGTTAAGCTAACTGAGACTTGTTATAGCACTTGCATATCATTGCTCTTTTGTTGATTTTGATTGCTTCCATTGTCCTCATTTGTAAGTCGCTTTGGATAAAAGCGTCTGCTAAATGACTAAATGTAATGTGTTGGAATGAATAAGAATAAGCAGCAGCAAGTCAATATGAACAACTCATATGACACACCACATGAAGTTAGCAACTTTGAAGAAGTACATTTCTTAATTCCCACAAATTTTAATGACAATTTAAAAATGTGAAAAATAATAATGCAGAATGAATATTTATGCCCAAACATTTGTATATACCTAGTACACATATAATTATAAAACTCCAACCGTTGGCTTTTAGATCTGTACAAACACTTGTCCACATGTAATCAGTGTGTGACAGATGTTTAGCTCTGTCTTCAGCTGTAGATGGTGCTTGGGTTAAGGCAGCTTTGAGGGGGTCCTGCACAGCTCATCCTTTAGATCCGTGACATTGGTCCTGTTGTCATGGAAATCGTTCAGACGCATACATTTTACAAAGAGTCTTCAAATGCACAAAAGCCAGGATGATGAACAAGGATTAAGCTCGACGCATCTGAGACGCCATAGACAAATACTGCTTCAAAAGCATTAAAAAGCACTTCTTTAGGGGTGTTTCGTGGGCTATATGTCGTCTTTATAAATTAAGGGAATGTTTGGTTTTCGCAAGAGTAGACTTTGCGCGGTACAAATGCGACAGAACAATTGCATTTAACGTTGGAGCAGCAAGTGCTTTTGCTTGGACACGCGAGATGGCCAGAGTGCGATGCATTCAGCACCTGTCAGGATGGTTTGTTCTGTTCAGCTTAATGACACGCCAGAGTCACTCCATTGAGACAGGTAGGGTGATGGGTGTTCAGTTCTCACGATTTATCCCGTTATTACCTCGTTGACTCCGACACTTGTTGCAATCAGGTTTCTTCTCGTATTCTCATTTGTGTGCATTGGCATTAGAACTAGATGGAATTGCAATGGCCTTCACACACATTTGGCTTGTCCCGTGTAATTTGTCTTACCACAGTAATCTAATGAAGTTGCAAGTTGAAATTGAAAGTAGATTCAAAATGACATTTAATTTTTGATTAGTAGTTTTTCAGTTCCTAAAATGTTTTTAAAATATGTTTTAATGCCTACATTTTAAAAACGAACACACAGTGAAATAATAGCCTACAATTAATTACTTTAAAAAAAAAAACGTTTTATTATTTTACTTACAAAATGTGTGTGTGTGTGTGTGTGTGTGTGTGTGCATGTATGTTATTATTATTATTATTATTATTATAAAAATGTATTGAACCATGTAATAACACAACCCTTTACCAAAATCTAAAATAAAATATATATTAATGTAGGCCTATGTTTAATTACATATACACACATTACAATGTTTGTAGTAAACCTATTTTATAATAAACTGCACTTATTTATATATGGAGATGTACAGTTATCGTTTGATATGAAAATCATTTATTGTTTTTTTTATTATGAGACAATAGGCTACATCTGGCTAAGGATGATTAATTTGATCTGACATTAAAAAACTGATGTAGCGCCTCCTCATCTGGTCCTGAGAAAAGGCCCTGGCATCTGTGTCGTTACCCACCGAGTTGGCACGCTCTCTGCTGTTTCTCTAGAGTTTGAAATTACAGTGGGAACCCGGGAGTGATTGGAGTTAAGAGCGCTTTGGTCTTTCCAATTAAAACATTTATAGGGAACTTACTATTCTGCTGCTGCTCGTTTTTGTGGAAACTCAGTTGAGGACACATGGTTACAGAATATTTTGAGGTATTGGTCCTTTTCCACCAATAGAAGGTTTCTCTGGACATTCCTGGCAGTGAGACATCACAGATCTACCGGTTGCCCTTGGTAACAAAGCTAATAAAGGCCTGTAAAGACCTTGTCTCAGACGACCACCGGGACAAGACCACAGGAACCAGATGAGTCCTCTGCACAATGTGACTTTGCTGCAGCCTGAAATTGAACTGCTGGTTCTGTCTGGTCAGAGGAGAACTGGCCCTCCGACTGAGCCTGGTTTCTCCCAAGGTTTTTTCTCCATTCTGTCACCGATGGAGTTTTGGTTCCTTGCCGCTATCGCCTCTGGCTTGCTTAGTTGGGGACACTTCATTTCCAGCGATATCGTTGACTTGATTGCAAATGATTGCAAAGATACTATTTAAACTGAACTGAGCTGGATGATGACATCACTGAATTGAATGATGAACTGTCTTTAACTGAAAAATGAGTGTTTACTATTGTCATTTTGCATTATTGACACACTATTTTCCTAATTAATGCTGTTCAGTTGCTTTGACACAATCTGTATTGTTAAAAGCGCTATATAAATAAAGGAGGGGGGGGGGGGGGGGGGGTGCAAAGCCAGTTCATGCTTGTGGTATTTCTAAATTCGAACTGAATTTGTTCTGTGTTCCATTGTGTTCTTTGTTTCAGTCTACATGACCTTTAAAGGAATAGTTCATCCAAAAATGAAAATTTGCACCCAAAAGTGAAAATCTCAACCTCAGGCCAGTTTGTTTCTTCATCAGAACAGATTTGGAGAAATGTGGTGTTGCATCACTTGCCCACCAGTGGATCCTCTTTAGTGAATGTGTGCCGTCAGTATGAGAGTCCAAACAGCTGATAAAAAACCATCGCAATAATCCAAAAGTAATCCACACAACTCAAGTCCATCAGATAATGTCTTCCTCCATTAAAATAGTCCATCCCCTGTTGTCCTCTCACATCAAAATCCATAAACATATTTGTTTAGAACTGTTTTGGACTGTTTTCACTTGTAAATGATGCTTGAGCTGATTCAAACGAGACGACTTTTTACTGGAGAAAGCAATATTATGGATAGAGGACTCGTATTTTAAGCAATGGCTTAAAGTTAAAAACTTCTTGATGGATTTGTTTATTATGAACACGCAGCTTTTCACTTCACAAGATGTTAATTGATGGACTGGAGTCGTGTGGATTACTTGATTTTGAATCTTATGGCCATCTCAATATTCCCAACAGTGAATGTTGTGGACTTCTGTGGACAGACAATACAGGGGGACGGCATGATCGTAAAGTCCCACCAGGAGTCCCGGAAGTACTACTTTGTCTCCATTGGGACAGATTGCCACCTCACCATGCAGTCCGCCACCCCCCAGGACAAGGTGCAGTTCTACTTCCGCTTTTTTCTGGTCTACAGCCTGCTAAGAGTGTCCCCGCACAGCCCCGCACCCCTCTTCCCAGAATCACCCAGGGGGTCCTCCTCATCTGGCCCGACGCGGCCTGATCTGAGCTTGGAGCCAACCACTGGGGAGGGGCCTGAAGACCCCTGCCATGCTGGCTCTTACATCCAGTTCTATGATGGGAGGGATAAGTCCGCACCCCCTATTGGCCAGCCACTCTGTGGGAAGAGCCCTCCCCGACCAGTGTTGTCAACGGGCAACTTTCTAACTCTACGTCTTGTGACGCGAGGAACTCAGCCAAGGGTGGACTTTGTTGGAGACTTTACTTCATTCAAGCTGGGTTAGAATGATTTTACATCCACTTCTCTTCTCTTTTTATTGAAGTTGAAGCATGATAGAATATCAACAACCTGCTTATATTGTTTGTCTCTCCAGGTTTTAACCAATCAGAATGCAGCGGAGAACCTTACTTCAACTGTCGCAATGGGAAGTGTATTCCCATGAGTCTGGTTTGTGCGGATGAAAAAGGCATTGACAACTGTGGCGATGGCAGTGACTTAATCGATTACCCTGGTTGCAATGGTCAGTGAGTTTATTTTGAGAAGGCTTTTCCATCTGGGATTTGTTCTTGATTTATATTTGCTCTTGTTTTTGTGTGTTTCAGGTCCTCTATCGACACCCAAGCCCCCACAGCATCACGTTACCCAACCTACACAGATGCTGGCTATTCCCACGTGGACAGTGTCCACTTTAAAGAACTGTGCCACTCCAAACGCCATTCCTGATCCAGATTCTGTGACCGGTAAGTAGTCCTTAAATGCAGCCGAACAGAAACTCTCTTAAAAATAAAGGTTCTTTATTGGCATCTAT